TTACCTATCTTAATATAGTACACTCCCCTTTACACACTACAGTGGACACATTTAGTGGAAGAGGCAAATGGCAGAAGTTAGCCATTTAAATACTTAATGACTGCGCACATTAAAGAAAAACTGTCTGCAACATATATTTTGTAGTGATTTATTTGCAATTCAGATGTTATCTCTAGCTGTATGTAAAGCTGTTAAGTCTGCTAACAATTTAAGATATTACAATAAAACAGAAAATTGTAGCAATTCATTTATGCTAATTTATTGACACTATAAATTCCTCAGGGCAGCAGCCATTAATACACTTTCCTGTATAAAAATAAAAAAAAACTATTTTGGTGCCTAACAGATAAAACTTAACAATAGAAATGTTAACTGGGATTTATATTTGCGTGAGATTTTTTTCTGTTTCTCTTTCTTTCTCTATTTTTTACATAGGTAATCCAACAATATGTACTCTTTTTTGTAAAGATTTTCATAGTAACAAGTGATTTTATGTACTCATTGATAAGATGACTTAAAGGGCCTAATTTCCAGGACATGGACACTTCTCAATTTTAAAAAATCAAGCCTCCTTAAAATGTCTTTCATAAAGACAGATACATTCACTAAGCTTTTTTAGTGGTCTCAAGGATACAGTATCTCATATTTTAATTTTAGGATCTGTTTTTGTTTTTGTAGCAGGTTATAGGATTTTCCAAACATTAATTTTGCACTTTACATTTGGTGCTGGGTTTTTTATAGCACTGGATTCTGACTAATCACTTATGACAAGACTGTAAGACAGCAGTTTGCCTACAGATAGAGGGGATGCAGAGCAGCACCATCCCAGGAGCACATGGAGAAGGGAATTAGGACTTTTAGAAACATAATTTCCTCTCTTGCTCGCCCCTGGCTCTAAGGGGGGTACAAACTCCTACTGCCCTGTGCTGGCAGGCAACTGTCGGGTCAGCTTATCTCAGACAGCCAATGTGTTGAGGGGATGGAGCCAAAGCCCCGCATGTCCCTGAGCACTGGCTGCCGATGCCCCATCAGGACAGGGGCCGGTGGCCCTACACAGGCTGCTGTCATCGCTCTCCAGCTTCTGCTGTGACCTGCAGTCCCACCAGCCCATGCCAGCAAGCAAGCCCTCAAGTCTCCCTCGTTTTCCCGCATGCTGGGGATAAGAGCGTCTGACAACCCTATTTGGTGATTATGCCACTGCAACCAGTATTGAGGCCTCAATTTGGTAGGCAAACAAGGCAAAGCAACCATCTGCTACCCCTTTATCCGGCTGTAGCTACACTAGACACATCAGGCAAAGAGCCTGATTTTGTAATTCCTGTGAGCGCTTGCAAATTCATCAGAGGTAGGGCCCTCCCTGGATCCTCACTCGCCACCAGAAAATACGAGGGACCTTCATATGAATAAAGGGTTTGTGTTGCATCTACAGATGTGTCAAACTTTGAAAACCTCATGCTTTAGACAGCCTTGCCTTGCTGCTAATTGGTATGTTTTTCTTTAAAAAGTGAAGATTCTAACCTTTTACTTGACAGATATGTGGGTAAAATGCCACATAACATTTTGAAAGCTTATCTATACTCTGCTGTTTACGAGTCTTGTTTATGTTGGAGCTCACACAGGAGTATACAAATGAAAAGGGTTAGCAGGAACAAAACTGAATGGTTGGTTTCAAATAGATGTGTAAGCTAGCGAAGAAAGGTTTCACCTACAGAAAGTCTAAAGATGTTGCTCCCTTTTAAAAGGTAACCATACAAATCTGACACTTTGACTCAACAGATTTTTTTATCACCATTATTTATTCCTAGTTGTGTCCCTGGTCTTTTGGGGTGGAGAATAGAGACAGTTTCATTACCTGTTTTTTTGTTTGCTTTTTTTTTTTTTTTTTCTTTCTTTCTAATCTTATGAAATTGCAGTGAGGAGAGAGTAAATGGGTTTCCATTTCTCTGCCAGATTTAGCAACAGAATTGTTTACAGTGTTGCAATCATTCATGTTTAAAGTAGAGCTACTAACTGCATAACTGAATAAGGGAATACTTTGGAAACAAAAGGGTTGCGTAACAGGCAAATTTAGCTTGTAGAATCTTTAGTATGCAATGTATAAGAAATTTCATAAACCCTAGGGAGAGTCTTCAATTTTGTCAGTGGGTGCAAAATGCTAACTTAGAAAAACTAAAATGATGAAAATATGGAAATAACTGACAATCAGAAAGCTGGCTTAATTCCTTTCTTTTTGTTGTTGTTATTTTTGGTTTTGTTTCCAGTAGGAATTTATCTCCTGCAAATTTATACATACAGATTACTTTGCATTTCAGGCTTATTTTCTCCAGGAAACTAACCAATGCACTTGGAAAAAAAAAGTTTCAAAGATCATGATATCTTCATCACACCTGGGGTGTTAACTGTAAGAATACTGGCAGAGGTGAATTTCTGTGGCTCAGGAATATGCAGTATTTTACATAAAAAAATATTTTGGAGTCTTCCTCAATCCTCTGCTTCCTGCCACTACTTGGAGGTGGCAGCACCAGCTCTGAATTTCCACAGCCATTGGTCTTGCCTTCTCAAGCAAATTGCTGACCCGTCTGATAGATGTTGCAGCCTTCAACCTCTAAGTAAGTAGTGCTTTGAGAGGAAAAAGGGATGTGTTGAACTCTACCACAATTCCTTGGCTATTGCCAGTAAACATTAGCTCTGAAGCAACTGTAACACTGAAATACTAGAAGAGAGCGAACAACAAAAACCTACCATTTCATAAGAAGCAATACCATGATGCTTAAAATTTAGGAAAATGTTTTGAACAAGTGACTCAAACCTCCTGCAGCTTGAAGGTGTGAAATGTGGGAAGCCTGCGATGTTCCAGTTAAAAAAATTATTGACTCTGCTGTGTTAGCTAGAGATTCAACTTGATTCAACAAGAATACCTGCCTACTCTCAATAATATTGAAACTTAGAAGGTGAAGTTAGTTTCTTCTTAAAGGAGGGGCATTGACACATCATACTGAGAATTCAGTGAACTGCAAATAATTAATTTTAATTAATAATATTAAATTATTATTTTTATTTTCATTTCTTTTTTAGAAATTGATAATTTTATACATTTTAAAGTGAAAACTAAATAATTTATAATTTTTTATTTTAACTTAAAATTTTTACTTTTAATTTCATTTTTATTATTGATTCATAATATACTGTTAATGATTCATTATTTCCCATTTAATTATTAATAGTATTATTACTTAATATAATATCTTAATTTTTTAGGGACATCCCTACATAAAAACCATGAGAAATACTCAGTTGCTTCCTCAGACTCTGTCAGCTCTTATTTATTTAGTCTTTTTGTTTGATGTTTTTAATGAAGAGGAGGAAAAAGATTCATTCTATACATAACCCCTCTGAGCATAATCTTAAAGTCTACTTGGTAGAGCATCTTTCTTACAGCTCCATGCAGCACATGCTTTTGCCCCTAGACTACACTCATGAAATGCATTTGTCAAGACTTTTGTCAGGGCTCTCATTTTCTTTGACTTTCTTGACTTTTCATATCATCAGATATGTTCTTCTTGAAATGTTACTTTCATTTTGGCTTCTCCAGTTTTGTCCTCTATCAGTACTCTACCAGTACATCTATCTGCACAATGTATGTCACTTAGCCAGATCTCTGAGTTGGATCTGCTTCTACCTTTTCCTTAAAGCAAGCACTACCAGCGCCCCCAGAAATGTTTTAAACCCCAGAAATCAGATTTAACTCCAAAACAAAGTTTCATAAAACATACGAAGTGGGACAGAATAGAAAAGGGTAGATGAACATCCCCTGGCTCATGCTGCTGTGAGACGGCGGCTCTGCCTCTCCATGCACGGCCCCAGTCCGGCAGCTCTGCAGGGTTGCAGAGGATTATGTACGGTCCCCTCCACCGGCCCAAGAGAACATTTTCCTTCCTTCCCCTCTGTGACTTGAATAGCAGTTCTTCTCCCTGCTTTTCTCAGCACTTTCCAGAGTTTCTGCTCACTCTTGTCCTTTTTTAGTATTATTATTTTTTCCCCTTCCTCCTTCTCCCTCTTTATCCTGCACCTCTGTAAATTTCTTCACTTGCGCATTCTCAGGGAAGGCAGAATCTTGCCCATTTCCAGAGCGCAGCCTAAACCCTGAGGGGAACAAGAAGACAAGCACCAGTCCTGTCCTGCCACATAACCTTTAAAGGACATAGGAGACATTAACCTACAGTAACTACAGACAAACTAAACACCATCTACTAAACCAAGTATTTAATAAATTTCAATGATGTTTATAAATTTCTAAACAAATATTTAAATCATTATAATAATAAAGCGTTCATGTGCTCTAATCTCTAATAAATTTGTCACAATTCACAAAACAGATTTTCATCAGCAAAGTACTTCATTATTCAGTGAAACAAAACATACTGCTCATCTCTATAGGGTTTAATGAAATTTACCATAAAAAAAAATTCTGGGTTTAAGAAAAATCCATAAAATATTTGCTTCAGAGAAGTTTCTAAATCCTTCAGAACATTCTTTTCTTTATTTATTTGAAAATGTAAATATTTTCTATTCTATGTTATGAAATCTGATGTCTATATGTACACAGTATATTCCTATCTTACTGTTAATATTGGTGCATGCATTATGACAACATGCCAAGTCATATCATATGATCATGTTACTGTGCCATATCATACCCCCAGGATTAGGGTCATGTTATAATAAAATGGCTCAGATGTTTTAATTTTTCATGTTCTAGGTTTCTTTAAAGGAGACTATGCAAGTAAACAAACAGCCCACTTGACCCTTACCCGAGCATCTCTCTGTCTCTCCGTCATTCTGCCCAGTAATTTTGTGACCTACCGGACAATTTCAATCAAATTTGCAAGTGGGGTAGATCTTTCGAAGGTGATCATAGTTTAAATTGCATTCCAGTTGGTGAATATGTATGGGAGACAAACTGATACCCTAACTGAAAGAAGGAAAAGTAGCCATTGTACCTTCCCAGGCAGTTGCTGCCTGTCCCAGCAGCACGTCCCTCTCAGCCAGCCACTCACATCTGCAGGGTAACCATCGCTGAAGAAACAAGAGGAAGCTGGTAGTAGTGGCAGTGAGAAAATTAAAGACACACCTGTAGGAAACCAGTTTTCATTAGCTCGACTGCTCTTAAATAAATTGCTTTATTTTTTTAAATCATTAAGAAATCATAATCTGTTTGAAACACGCTGGGCTTGATCTCAGTGTGTCCTGCTTTCACTGTGATAAAAAAAAAAAAAAAAAAAAATGTTTCTGTATTCTGTACTAAACAGTCATTAGATAACATGCCCGAAAAGAGGCATGAGAATTCAAGTCCTAAGCCACTTATCTGTGGCCTAACAAGTCACCCTTTCCGTAAGCCTAATGAATCTTTGTGTTTGTTTGTTTCCAAAATGACACAGGTACAACTGTAAATGTAATACTTCCCAGCTAGACAGAAGAAGTAGGTCTCAACTGTTTCAGTAACAATCTCAGGCTTATCTTCTACTAACTCCCTTTGCCTGAAGTCTTTTTAAATAGCCCTATGCCACACGTCAGCACACTTTTCCTATTTCTCTCTCTCTTTGGCTCCTGTCCTGCCATTAGTCCACTAACATCATTGGCAGGCACTTACCTTTTCTTGCCTTTACCTGCTGCACTGCTACTTCTTGTTCCCTTTCTCAGCAGCTATCCTCTCTTCTGCGTGTCTTGCTGGTGTGCACTCACATTTAAATTGACATAAAACTGCTTAACTACAGTGCCAAAAGTAATCTTATCTATTGTTCTCTTGCTACTTTGAAACAATACTAATAAACAGAAGAAATGTCCTTTGAATCTGAATAACTTGTGCTACCTCGCTATTATGGGATGAATCAAATCAGTGGAAAGTTTTCTGTTGATTTAACTGTGCTGCTGGACAGTATACTTCTCTTGCATTTCTCCAGGTGCCATATAATTTCTATTTTTAATAGTAATTTTAACTAATTTTCCTAGCACTAAAAGTAGAGCTTGCCACGCCATAATTCTTTGATCACCCTTTCAGTCCTTTTAAAAGACAAACAGATTTTGTACCTCTTAATCTTCACACATAGTAACTGATCTTAATGACTGCATGTTTTTAACAGTCCATTTACTTCATTTTCAGATTCTGTAAAAACTCTTGATGACTACCATTTAGTTACATGCTTTAAGAATCTCTCTGTTGACAACTCAGTACACACCCACATCTCATCCTTGCTACTGAAAAAAAGGTGACCGGAGGAAATGTCTTCATTTGCTATGAGTACTAGAGTACAGAAATTTAATTTCTCTGCAATAGTTTTTCTTTTATAGCTGGACAAAACTAATAGGCCTGCCAGTTCTGTCATGGCTTCCTCATATTGGTAAAGTATATGTTTAGTTTTTAACAGGTAATTAATTCTTTTATATACGGATTCTTTGTTCTTCCAATTCCTTCCTTGGCTTTTCTAATTTTACTTCTTTCTGTTGTTTTCAAGATGATTGGATTTGGGCTTTCCCAATGACACATTTTAGGCTCAGATAACTTAAATACTGAACCTTGACATTTAACTATATTGATCTTTCCCTTGCCTTCCTGTTTTCTTTTATTTGTTTAGGGATATTTGTTCTGAGACTTTTGTGCTATGCTTAAGTACCCTCCATGCTGAGACTAAAGATCTTCATTTCAACACTTCTGATTGGGGATATTTCTTATTTATTTCCTTTTTTTTTTTTTTGAAAGTGGAGTGGTTTACCTGTCTTTGCTGGGGATAGAAAAATAAACTATTAGATTTTGTTCTGAACAGTTCCCTGAAAAAGTCTGAATACTGTTGTATTATGTTCATGATTAATCAGCATTTTTTAAGAAGTTGGTTTTGAGATGTGTCCTGTTACTATCTGTTATTCTGACTGATGTCAGTCCACAGTTTCCAATGAACAAACATTTCAAGAAACAAAAAGTAGTTTTCCGAAGCAAAATTTAACCCCTCTGTATACGGGTTATTGTTAGGTCTGTTATATTGGACTTTGGTCCTTTGCTAAGCTTCTCCTATACATTGTATTTAATGTGTTTTCTTGATCTGTCAGGTAGTGTAAGCCTTATATATGTGTATTCCTATCATCAAGGATTTATATTTTGTCTATGTATTAGCCTCTCTGCAGTACTGCTTTCTCACCAACCTGGTAATAAGCATTTTTTTAATTTTGTTTTTGTTTCAGTTTTTTTCCAATAAATACACACTACGTATTAAATACACAGTGATGTGGAACAGCATATAGGTATTATTGGCACTCATTCGCATTACCTTCATACAATTTATTCCTGACTTTTCTATGTGAAAAATACAGCAATTTCCCAATGAATGCATAGAAAATTATGAAGCCAGTCTAAGCTATCAAATATGTAGTGTGTGCTACAAATTTGACAGAAAAAGCATTTTAGATATACTGTAAAATCATCAAACAAATAAAATATTCATTACTTGCACAGGTGGATTAAAATCAATAAATGCCATTTTGTTGTTATAAACTGTCTGATGTAACAAACATCAGTCTGGCAGAGGTATATACTCATATGCAGGCATAATTTTTTATCTGGCTTTTTCCAGTTAGGCACCTGAGTCTCTACCGGGTTTAAGAGCCACAGTTTTTAAAGATGTCAATATATGATTTCCAATAAATCATTAGAAACTGATAATAATCAGCCATACCTGAAAACGAGCATTAAAAAGTAGCTCTGTCGAAGTTAGCACTAAAAACCACAGTGACTTGTAGGGTAAGCGTTTCATTTACGGTCATTACCTGGTAGTCAGTCACAGGTTTGAGGATCTAGTGATAGTGATTCAGATTTTATTTTTCCTCTAAGTATGCCATGCATGCCGTTGGTATCAATGGGATGTCGTAAGCTGCAAGATGTTTGATAAAAAAAAGGTAGATTTAACAAGCAAAGACTCCAGTTACTTGGATAAAGGGTTATATAGTTTTCCCCTTAATTCTGAGTCCCGAGTACTTGTTTTACAAACTGCAGAGTGCCCTCAAATGTATTGACTTCATTGTGGACTCAGAGTATTTATTGTGTAACGCTGAGTCATATAAAAAAAAAAAAATAAAAGCATTCGCTAGGCTGGAGAAAAAAGTGGTGGGGACACTAGCCTCCTCAAACAAAAAGGTCTAATTCATCTTGGGTGTTGTGGCTTTTTTTTAAACAAAAGTACACCATGAGAAACATCGTCAGAAATACATTACATAGCACATGCCACTGTAATAGTGAAATTATTGTTTTATCCTGCTGGTGCTCTCCTGCTGCCTCAGAAAGGAAACCAGAGTTACCGTAAGTGCAGGCGCACACCCGGTATATGCCCCAGATGCAGCAGTATCGCTAGCGCGCTAGAGGGAGCCATTACATAATTGCAACGACCCTTTTTCTCCCCCAATTAGCAGAATTTGCACACAAAAATCTCTGGACGTCCTGAGACATCCTGAAGGTTTGGCATGGGCTACAGAATGAGGAGAGGAAAGCGCAGGACTCAAGTTACATTGAAACGAGGTCTCCTGATATAGCTCAGAGGCTTTCTCTGGTGTTTGTTCCATTTTTAAAATTGTGCTGCTCCTAACTTCTCCAAATAAGTGACATAGCCGAATACGCCAATTTTCATCAGCCAATCTGAAGCGCTCTTTCAGAAAGCAAAGCCCATTTTGTAAACATATTTTTGATTTCGTCTGTCGCTCTCACACAGAAAGTTGGCACGTCTGAGAGTAGTGATTTTACGCTGCCACTAATGTATGTATAGTTTATTTATACACAGTATTTTAACACAGCGTTACTTTTATAATGATTACTAGCAGACTCGTTCTGCATGGCAAACTATCCGTTTCAAAGCTACAAAAACGTCTGCAGGACACGAAGATAGGTTTAGAAAGAACACCTATTTGAATCTGTAAATTTGTAAGACTTTCTCCAAGTCAAATGGTATTTATGGACGTAGTAACTCGGAAAGGGCTGAAGGTAATCCTACCAAGCAAGGCGAAAGAGCCGCTTCCTTAACTGAATCTTTTAAGAGCCACTCCTAAAATAATTGTCAGGCGCGTCTTATAATTGCTCCGGTTGATTTTCTTTTTTTGTTGTTTAACCCTTTTTTTTTTTTTCTTTTTTTTTTTTTTTTCCCCTAAATGATCCATGCTACTTACACGCTCGTCACTCACAGCTCACAAATGGCAGCTTCACTTCGGTACGCCCGGGTCGAGACGGACGCTCCGGCAATCCGAGCACACTCACCTTGCCAGCCTCGGTTTTCCCCCCCCCCCCTTCCATAACCCCCCCCGCCCCGCTCCCGCCGCCTCCGGCCGCCAGCCTCCCGCCGCGGCGGGGGCGGGCACCGCGCCGGGCGGGGAAGGGCGGGGAGGGGAGGGACGGGAAGGGGGGGGGGGGGGGGGGGGGGGGCAGGGAGCTGCTGCTGTGGCCCCCAGCCCTCCACCGCCGGGCTGCCGCCGCGCCAGCTCCCCCCGCAACGCGGGTTGCGGGGGGGGGTGGTCCCGCCCCGCCCTTCGGATTTTGCCCCTCGGGGAGGGTGAGACGCATTCGAGGGGGCTCCCGCAGGACTTGGCGGGGGAGTTGGGGGGGGGGAGTGGCGGCCACACGCCCCCCCCCCCCCCCCCCCCCCGCTGTGCATCCCCAGGGTGGGTGGGAGAAGGGGGTGCGGCGGACCCCTGGGGGGAGTCGGAGCCAAGTCCTCGCCCTCGCAGTGCTTCGGAGCAGCGCGGGGGGAGGCGAGTGCCGCGTGTCCCCGTCCCCCCCCCCCCCCTTCCCCACCCGTCATCACGGAAGACTTGTTACGGCTTAAAAATAAATAAATAAGGGGAGGGGGGAAAATAGAGAAATAAATAAATAACAGGATGCCGGGAAGGGGGGGGGGGGGGGGGGGGGGGGGGGCGGGCGCGGCGCTGCGGCGCGCGGCGACGAGACACCGCATCGCGCCCGCTCAAGCCCTTCGCACGTCGCGCGCCTCTCCCACCGAACCGATCTCATCAATGACACCCAGCGCCCGCCGCGGCCCCGCCCCCGCCCCGCCCCCGCCCCGCCCCTCCATCTTCCCATTGGCCGGTAGGCGCCGGGGCCGGGCGCCGCCGCCGCCGCCGATTGGCTGGCGGGGAATCCGTATCAATGTTTAAGCCGCGGCGTGAGGTGAATAGAGGCAGACGGCGAGCGGCGCTGGGCGAGCGCGGCGCGGCGCGGCTGGCCCCGCCAGTGCTGCAGTGAGGGAGGCGAGGAGGAGGAGGAGGAAAAAGGAGGAGGAGGAGGAGGAGGAGGAGAAGGAGGAGGAGGGGGGGTAGAGAGGGAGGAGAGGGAGGCAGAGAGCAGCTCCAACTGTTGAATTTTTCGCTGAATTCTCCACTTACCTGCGGGCGGCTGGCGAAATGGATCTGGTTTACCGGGGATCGGCGTTCGTTTCGCGTGCTGCCTGGCTAAGACTGGCGACCGTCTGTTTGAAAGGGGCCACCCATCAATGAGGCAGAGAAGAATATTTGTTTTTTCCTTTTTTTTTAATTTTTTTTTATTTTTTTTTCCCCTTTCGAAAGCCTCTCCACCACAGGTTGCAGAATTAACTGTGTACTTTGGGTCCGGACTCAAATAAAGGAGAAAAAAACAGTGCAGAACTGAGACTCGGAACTAGATCTGTGAGCTATGTACTGGGAATCTATGTTTTTGTTGGTGTTTTTTCTTTTAATATGAAAGATCTCTGACTTATTTCACACATAACACTGAGGAAAGGTGGTTAAAAACACTCAGCAAAGCAGGAGACAGACGCGCCTCTATGCCAGTGAGTGGATAACAGCCTTGTTTTCCTGATCCTCAGTCTCCCGGAGAAAGAGGTATAGTAAAAGTGTAGCTGGATCCGACACCCCACCACCCCCCCCCCTTCTCTTTTTTTTCTTTTCTTTCCCTGCCTCCCCCCTTCCAATTTTTTTTTTTTTTTTTTTCTCTCTCCTGTCTGTAGAGTGAGTCAGAAGCGTTAGGAAGAAGCTGCAACTAATGTCTGTGAAGGGAGGAACATGAGTCGATAGTGAATGTGATTTTTTTCTGCTGGATCTGACTCATCCAGCAGATTGAAACACTTGCATTTCTGGATGTGCCGTTCATTTATTTCTGGTTATTAAAAGAACCTGAAATAAAATTTAGCTACCCTTCCCCAATATTTGCTTATACACCGTATCGCTGGGAAAGGTACATCAGAGACGGAACGCATCTGACGCTGCCGCCGCTCCACTCCCCTGTACTAAGATGCTCAGAGAGACGGTTAAAGCTTGAAAGGGCTGCAAAAGAATGCAACACACCAATCGCGGAACTGCATAGGGTTTAATATAAGCGAATTAGTCGACTAGAAGATCTCCCACTTTATTCATCGCCAGGATTGTTTTTCCTCCTCTTCTCCCCTCCCCTAAATGAAGAGGACTAGGCGGCAGTGTCATTGGAAGGAGATGCTGAATAGAAAGAAAAGAGAGGCACTTGATAGCGCAGCCCTGTGAATACAGAGACTGTTTCCCTTTTAGCGAGAGACTGAGAGAGAGAGAGAGTGTGTGGTGGCTTTTCTTTCTTTCTTTCCTTTTCTCCCCTGCACCCCCCCCTCCCCCTTCTCTCTCTCTCTTGCTCTCTCTTTTTTTAATCTATGCGTCCAGCCATGGGTTGCCTGTTGATTTCCTCTCGGCTGGAGAGAAAAGCAAACTGGAATTAAACTGCATCGAGAAAAGTGCAGCTCCTCAGACACGCATACGCACACACGCATAGACACAGGGAAGGAAAGGATGTGGTGGTGGCGGCGGCTACTGGCCTGTCTTAAAGAAACCCAAGTGCGCATCTGATTGAGCACAGCCTGTGATTTCCCTCAAAACGTTTATTTATTGCTAATGATGACCGTCAGCCGGTGGGTTTCTTAATTTTTTTCCCTACAAAAGGACGAGTGGGAGGCTAGTAGTAGAGGGAGAGAAAGGGAACTACAAATCCGGACACTAGTTTTTGCCTTTTTTTTTTTTTTTTTTTTTTTTTTTTTCTTCCCGTGTTTTGTTTTCCCCTCTTGCCCTGCAGTCCTCAGTCCCTCGCCTTCTCATTCGGGAAGGAAATAGTGAGGGTGTACGAGACAGAGAGGGGGGAAATACCGATGGCAGCGAGATGTAGCTCTCCGCCACAAGCAATGCAAGATTAGATCTCTAAATGCAGCAAAACACTCCCTGAAAACCAACAACCCCGCGGTGCAATCAGACATTTCACTGACTCTCACTGCACACGAAGAGGGCTTCAACAACAGGCTGAGACTTTTTTTTCCCCTTCTGTCTCTCTCCTACCCCTTCACTCCATCAATCGCATCACAAGCGATGAGTAGCAAATAAGCTTTTCTACCCATGCTTACAGACCTGTGGCCACCCGCCTTTCCTATGTATATATAAATACACATATTTAAAAAAAAAAAAAAAAAAAGCTTTTTGATCGTTTTTAGAAAAACAACCACTGCCGCCGATTTTTTATTATTGTTATTATTTTTATTATCCTTTGTACATCTGCGGGGATTGAAGGATCGGGAACGCTTCACCTGCCCGGAGGAGAAGATCTTTTGCAAATTTTCTGATTTTTGAAAGCCTCCCACTGCCGAAGTTGGACAGCCGAAGTAACTGCGAGGGGACTGCAAGCACGGCAAGCACTTGCTGAAACGCTGCCGAAGCTGCTCTCCCCCCCGCCCCCTTCCTCCCTCCGGCCCCCCCGATTGCTCCCTCCCTCTGAGCTACATGGTCTATTTGCTGCCTCTCATCCTGTGTCTCTGCAGATGTTTTAGAGCAACAGGTTCAGGAACTTAAAATCTAGGGGTGGGGAGAGAGAAGGAAAAAAAAAAAAAAAAAAAAAAAAAAAAAAAAAAAAAAAAGAAAACAGAGCCGACGGAGGAGGAGGAAAAACAAACCCAACGCAGGAGGCAGAGAAGACGGGGATAACCCTGGTCGCCGCTGCAGCTGCTGCCCCCCCACACCCCTCCTCGGGGATGTACCTTTCCATTTGTTGCTTCTTCCTCTGCTGGGCTCCCGCCCTGTCGCTGAAGAACCTGAATTACTCGGTGCCGGAGGAGCAGGGAGCGGGCACGGTCATCGGGAACATCGGCCGCGATGCGCGGCTGGCAGCGGGTGCGGCGGGAGGCGGGGTGCTGCCCGCGGAGCGCGGAGCTGCCGGCGGCGGGGGCCGCAGCCCCAAATCCACCTTCCGAGTACTGGAGAACTCAGCCCCGCACCTCCTGGACGTGGACGGGGAGAGCGGGCTGCTCTACACCAAGCAGCGCATCGACCGTGAGGCGCTGTGCAGGCGCAGCGCCAAGTGCCAGCTGTCCCTCGAGGTGTTCGCCAACGACCAGGAGATATGCATGATCAAGGTGGAGATCCAGGACCTGAACGACAACGCGCCGGCCTTCCCCTCTGACCAAGTGGACATGGACATCTCGGAAAATGCTGCGCCGGGCACCCGTTTCCCGCTCACCAGCGCCCACGACCCAGACGCTGGGGACAATGGGCTGCGTACCTACCTGCTCACCCGTGATGACTACGGCCTCTTCTCCCTTGATGTGAAGTCCCGCGGTGATGGCACAAAGTTTCCGGAGCTGGTCATCCAGAAGCCGTTAGACCGTGAGGAGCAGAGTCACCACACCCTGGTACTGACAGCACTGGATGGCGGTGACCCACCACGCTCGGGCACAGTGCAGATCAACGTGCGCCTCATTGACTCCAATGACAACAGCCCCATCTTTGAGGCAGCCTCCTACGTGGTAGAGCTGCCAGAGAACGCACCACTGGGCACTGCCGTCATCGACCTGAATGCCACCGATGCTGACGAGGGTACCAACGGAGAGGTGCTCTACTCCTTCAGTGGCTACGCACCCGAGCGTGTCCGCGACTTGTTCAGCATCGACCCGCAGAGTGGCCTCATCCGTGTCAAGGGCAACCTGGACTATGAGGAGAGCGGCCTCATTGAGATCGATGTCCAGGCTAGGGACCTGGGCCCCAATCCCATCCCTGCTCACTGCAAGGTCACTGTCCGCCTCATCGACCGCAATGACAATGCGCCCACCATTGGCTTTGTCTCCGTTCGCCAGGGAGCACTGAGTGAAGCTGCCCCACCGGGCACTGTCATTGCCTTGGTGCGGGTCACCGACCGTGACTCAGGCAAGAACGGGCAGCTCCAGTGCCGGGTGCTGGGCAGCGGCAGCGGGCCTGGAGCCGTCCCTTTCACCCTGGAGGAGAACTATGACAACTTCTATACTGTGGTCACTGACCGGCCCTTGGACCGTGAGGCACAGGATGAGTATAATGTGACCATCGTGGCACGTGATGGGGGCAACCCCCCTCTCAACTCCACCAAGTCATTTTCCGTCCGGATCCTCGACGAGAATGACAACCCACCCCGCTTCAGCAAGAACCTTTATGTGTTACAGGTGCCTGAGAACAACATCCCTGGAGAGTACCTGGGCTCTGTCTTGGCCCAGGACCCCGACCTGGGCCAAAATGGGACAGTCTCTTATTCCATTCTGCCCGGGCACGTGGGCGATGTCTCCATCTACACCTATGTCTCTGTCAACCCTACCAATGGTGCTATCTATGCCCTGAGGAGCTTCAACTACGAGCAGACAAAGCACTTCGAGTTTCGCGTGCTGGCCAAAGACTCAGGCTCGCCCCACCGCGAAAGCAACGCCACAGTGCGCGTCACCGTGCTCGATGTCAACGACAACGCGCCCCTCATCGTCCTGCCTGCCCTCATCAATGACACCGCAGAGCTGCAGGTGCCACGCAATGCTGGGGTGGGCTACCCTGTGGGCACCGTCCGCGCCCTGGACAGTGACTTTGGGGAGAGCGGGCGCCTCACTTACGAGATTGTGGAAGGCAATGAGGAGCACCTCTTTGAGATGGACCCCACTAGTGGTGAGATACGTACCTTGCACCCCTACTGGGAGGAGCTCAGCCCTGTGGCTGAACTGGTGGTAAAAGTCAGTGACCATGGCAAGCCCAGCCTCTCCGCAGTGGCCAAGCTCATTGTCAGGGCCTTGGCAGGGCCGCTGCCCGAGGCTGGCGAGCCACAGGTGAATGGCGAGCAGCATCGGCGACCACACTGGGACTTGTCGCTTCCCCTGATCGTGACGCTGAGCACTGTCTCCATCATCTTGCTGGCTGCCATGATCACTATTGCTGTGAAGTGCAAGCGGGAGAACAAGGAGATCCGCACCTATAATTGTCGCATTGCCGAGTATAGCCACCCTCAGCTGGGAGGAGGGGGAGGCAGTGGCGGGGGAGGAGGAGGCAGTGGCAGTGGAGGGGGCAAGGGCAAGAAGAAGAAGATCAGCAAGAATGACATTATGCTGGTGCCCAGTGAGGGCGAGGACAGCCGGGGCCCCCTCAATGTCATGAACGTGGTGAGCAGCCCATCCCTGGCCACCTCACCCATGTACTTTGACTACCAGACCCGCCTGCCCCTCAGCTCTCCCAGGTCTGAGGTGATGTACCTGAAGCCCGCCTCCAACAACCTGACTGTACCCCAGGGACATGTGGGCTGCCACACCAGCTTCACAGGGCAAGGGACTAACGCCAGCGAGGCTCCCCCGAGCCGGATGTCCATAATTCAGGTAGGAGACTTTTAGAATACCCTGGACCTCACTTTAGACGCTGGTTTAACTTTACCTTTTGTCTGCAGAGAAATCTGCTGTAAGGCACCACTGAAGGGACCAACACAAGCCACTAAAGAGAGGTGGACTTAATGAAAGTGGAACCAGACCACATCTGGTGGGTCTGGTTCTGCTGTCACACTGGTGTTTCCCAGGAGATTCAAAAGTAAACGCTCACTGACAAAAACAGTTACGGCAGTGCAAAAGAGGTTCATGTGAGGGTGCAGGCAGGCATTTAGTATGTTTGGGGCATGCTGGGATATTTTCACAAATTGTCAGGCAGAGGTGGGTGCTTCCACAGGTTTCACTTCTGTTTGGTTTGGGGTGGAGGAGGGGGAGGGCATTTCTGAAGCAGTCATATCATCTGCAGTAACTAACAGGACGTGGGAGAAACTCTACACACTGAGGACATCTATTGCAACAGTGTATTATAGCCCTCCAATCCTGTATGTAAATATGAGCTCTCTTTCCAAGATGTATGTTTTTATTTTTTTTAATTTCCTTCTTTAGAATAGACACACATAAATATTTATTTTTTTTTGACGTGGACAGCATCACTGGGGCCCCATTGCCTCCTCCTCTCCCCATAAACAACCAAACCTGAAGCATTGAAAATTCTGCTTAGTCAAATAGAAAGAAAATGTATGTGGTGATTCCCTCCTACCCCCAAATGTTAACAAAACTCACATCCTGTCATGAAACAGCAAAATAACTAGTCAGATTTCCAGCAGCCTGAGTCAATATTGATGATTGCTTTATAGCGAAAGACTTACATACTCTGTCTTCTACCAAAGCTTATTTAGAAATTACAGCTGGGCTGCATTCTGCTGCCAGTTATATCCACACTGTCCTCTACTGACTTTTGTGAATGTGAGAAATGGCAGAATTTGGACCATTGGAAATAGGGTGCTAATCAAAGAATGGCTTAATTTTTAGCAGGTAGTATAAAGTCCAAATGCAGAAGATGTATTTCAGAGTAGTGAACTCACAGAGTGAAGGTGAGGGCAGAATTTGGCTCCAGTCGATTTAATTTAAAGTATTACTTCATGATTAATGCATCTTAATGTTCAGATACTACAGGTCTGTTCCAAAGTGATTTTTAACATTTGGATTGAAAGCAGGCTCTGGATAATGACTATTAAATATATTTGAAATGTCATATCTGTTTTATCCTGTCGTTCTCCTAATATGCTGTTCTGAGTCATAGGGGAATAAGCTGAGTGTATCAGAAGTGACAGAGACTCATTTTGTGTATGCAGCAAGTGGGAAAGAAGTTGCACTGTAGACACTTGATGTACCAAAAGAAAATTCACAATACCTTGGAGTTATCATACCCTGCGGTCTGTGAACACCGAATGTTCTAGTTGCCAGCTGCATATAATGTTTTAAAATGAATAGAAGTGGCCACTGGAAATTGGTCAGTTAAGTATCCAAAATTCCAGTAACTGATGGCCTGTAATTTGAGGTTTTTTTTAACTGGGGGAAAAAAATAAAAAAAAAAAAAAAAAAGGAAAAAAAAAGGAAAAAGCCTGTCTGTACAAGGTCACTGTGAACTAATCCTCAACCTACTACCGAGTTCTGTCACAGAAACAATTTCATTGTATGCCTATCATGAATTTGTGTTGCTATCAATTAGGTGAGTGGAGCAATACTTAAAACCTGAAATTGATTTTAACAAAAAGTGACACTTCAGGAAAGAGTTTAGGTTAGGGCACAACTGGAGATAATTTGATTTATAATTCATGCTTTAAAAAGCAAACAACTTTAAATGACACTTGTTTAAGTAATGTCAACTTTTTTACTGTAAAATGGAGTTGTCAGAATGCTAAGAAAAACCCAGACTCTTTTTCCTACTAACAAGTGTAATAGTTACTAAAAGACAGAAAATTATACTTTCCTACAACCATGTAATGTCTTTATAAAGCAATTAATTCATGTATTGATGCTACTGAGTAGTAAAGATTCAACTGTAGTGTAAAATCCCTATGGAAAATATGATTCATTTTTATTACAGTGTTCACTGTATAATATCAATCATGACTTTTTTTTTTTTTTTTTTCTGAGATCTATATAAAGCTGAAAGAGGAATTTCCTCCCTTAAAAAGGTGTGTTGTGGTTTCTGTAAGAGTTTTCATTATGACAGCTGTGGGAAATGCTAAGCGTAACTCCTCATAGCACATACTGGTATACCTAATATTGGGTTTACTTTCTTTGAATATCTACACAGAGTGTCTTGGATGTTTAGATGGTCCAGCCAGTAGATTAGGAAACATTCAGTTTTTCCTAGTGAACAACCTATTCAAACATACTTATTGATACTATATTTTGTAGTTGTATTGACAAAACAAATACACAGTATGAAAGAGAGTAGTTTATTTCTATTTAGGAAAGTCCCATACTTAAAATACCTAGATGGGAAAATCTGATCCTTTTCACTATAATTTTGCATTACTAAAATACATTTTGTATTCTCCTTCTCCACATCCCAGGAGTAAGTTTTATATAAAATTTGCATTTGGAATGTAGACGCTACTTTGTATCTGGTCCTGTAGTTCTGCCTCATGTAAAATTCAAACTGCAGACTTATGGAGAAATAGTAAAGGATCAGCCCTCTCTCTGGATCTGCTAGATCCTTAATCACTCCAGGAAACCTGTGTCTAAAAAAGTAAATTGCACAATTAGGAATCAAAGGTATAGCCAGTGGAAAAAAAATACAGAATCCAAACAGCTTCTTTATCATCTCCTTTCATTAGTCAACTCAGTAAAGCAGTTTTCTTCTTTACCTCAGTTAGGGAAAGGTAAATGATTGTATAAGTGTTCTCTAGTGAATATTCACTTTAGTTTTTCAAGACGTATTCCTGAACCACTATAATCTCACACTATATAATGCATAAAATGGAACTGCTTTTCTTTACTCTAATTTTCTCAGCAAGTGTTTAATGGCAGAATTCTCTAGCAGGAGCCGGTTGTTAAAACTTTATATATATATTATATATGTGTACATACTTATATATCTATGGAGATATATACACATACTAAATATTATATTATTACCTAGTACATCCAATTGAGTCTATAGATATTTAAAATCAAATAAATAATTTATTTCTCAGTAAGATTCAAGTTTTCTCATTCTTATTAGGAGTGCATAACAATTTATTTGCTTTGCTTACTAGTAAGAGCTAGTAAAGTTAATAGGCTTTATGATTCCCTTATTTCTCATGAATAATATTTTATTCTACAGATAGCCCAATTTATATCAATGAATGCATGTGGAGTAAAGTGTTACTTAGTGACTATGGGTTTCATACTGACCCCAAATCATCAGCAGTTGAATAAAATAATGCCTGATATATGTAAAAGTGGTCTAATCTTGCCCCTTTAAGTGACTTTTGTTATACATTAGTCACAGGGTTTAACATCTTGTGTGTTTATCCACTACTTTGTAGCATCCAGCTATGTGCCATGTTTGCATGTGTTACTTACATGAATCAATTAACTTGTTCAGTACCATAAAAATTAAATAATTTAAACATGCATACATAAATGTATATATAAAATTTTGGATGGACAGACAAGAATGCTATGTACCTTCAGTTTTTATTTGTGCAAGAGACTTGCAAATGCCTAGGGCCTCTGAAAATAGACAATTTCTGATTTGATGGGCACATGAGGTTGACATGTATGAAGAAGAGTGTTTAGTAGCATACTGGAAAGTTAGAACAGCTACACTTCAGCATATTTCATTGCTTTTAACTTCAGCACCCGTATTCTAAACATACTTTAGAAACATGCTTTCAAATGCAAGTCAGTTAAAAATATTTAAATATAGGTCAGTACTATACAATTGTCATTGCCAGATTCAAAATTTCATGTGAGCTTTGCATTAGTCACTTAATGTCCAAACTATTAATTTTTACTGGGGAGAAAAAAGAGGAAAGTAGGAGAAAATGGAAAGCCTACATGTCTGAAAGAAGATTTCCGTTCACTCTAGACTTAAAAACTACTGAGCGAATTCTGTTCGACTCATCCTGGTGAGTAAATCAGGCTGACCTACTCATCTGACTAAGAGAAACAAAATTTTTCTTTATTTTGCAGAGCAGACATTAGAAAAAGAATTATAGAATTATCTTGTACAAACATACACATCGATGTTCATAACTCTTCTACCAAAAAGTTCTGACTTAATCAGTTCACCATTCCCTGGTTGAACAAATTGCAGTTTCTTCTTGCAGGTTTCCAATACATAAAAGAGTGGACGGAAAAAGGGAAATAGATATTTTCTTTAAACAAATAGGTTCTGGAAATAGGTTCCTCAAAGTGACATGACAGTACTGTAGAAAGCTATATACATATGCAAGTAGTGTTGATCATCCTAGAGATTATTTATTATTATACTTCTGGTGCAGCTTGGAGAGGTTTGTAAATAAATCAGGAATGAGACTGGTGTGAATAAAGAAAACAGTGGTCACAGCTTTTGTTAAACAACAGCTAAAAAAGAATGACTGTGTTGCAAGAAGCTCTCACACTGGGAATCACCATAGCTGCTGTACTAGGCAGTCCTGTAGCATTTTAAGATAAAGTACAGTTCATTATTAATACTTCAGGCACCTGATGTTTATGATGTGTCAACAGATTACTGTCAAGTCCCAGTGCAGCTTCATCGCCAGGTGTCTAGTAGTACCTAAGAAGATAGAGTCTTCAGGGGAAATAAAAAACATAAGCTATATTAGCGCTGCTGTGTCTTTAGCTATACTATTCCATGCTTTGCTTTGAGAAACTTCAGCTCCAAAATTTCAAGATTGTAAAAAGAAGTCTGCAGCTGCCGCAGTATAAGGAGAAGCATCTTTCCTCACAGAAGCTGCATTCATTCTCAGTAATTTAAATTCCTATCTGAAAACAGAGGTATTCATTTTTTATGTTTATATCTTCTGCTGCAAATGAAGAATATTACTCTCTCT